TTTTTGTGTTAAGTCAAAGAACAGATAAAAAAATATATATCATTAAAAATTTGGAACGATACAAGATTACAAAGATCTAAAGACATGTTTCTTCAAAAACAAATGTGGTAAAAAATTATGATTGATCTTTGTATTTACATATAATTACATATAATGTGAAGAGTCTTCAGCATTTATCCTTTATAAAAAAAATTAAATTATTTTAAAATAATTTTATAATTTTGTATTATTATTGAATTATCTATGAAATAATATTATTATCTAAATTAAAAATATTAAATCTTCCAATATCTCTATTGCATGATTAACACTTTAAAATTAAATATATTATATATTACAAATATATGTGGTTTCTACTGAGATTATATATTATAGAATTTATATATATAGACAATTTCCGTCAGATTTATTTTTTTAAAAAAATAAATACATAAAGTCAAAATTTGTGTCCAATTGATATGCCAAAAGGGAACCAATTAACGACAATAAGAAAACAAAGAGAACTCCAGAATACACTGCAGACTTCTTCCCCTCTCTCTCTCTCTCTCTCTCTCTCTCTCCCTTTATACATTCGAGAATCCATCCATCGATCGAGTCGTCTGTAGAAGAATCGAAGGGAGGATGTTCTTCTTCTTCGTCGGGGGAGTCGAGCAGCAGGTGGGGCGGGCGCTGAAGGAGGGAGCGGGGCGCTGCCTCCGCTGCGGATCCACGGCCGACCTCGTCGAGTACGAGAAGGTCCTCAAGCTATTCTTCGTCCCCGTCTGGCGCTGGCCCGGTAAGGACCCCGCCTTCTACTGCCGCGACTGCTCCTTCCTCTCCCCCCACTCGCTTCCTCTTCACGACGATGACCGCGCCGCGACCGGCAGAAGCGGATTGTTCGAGGCCCTCCGTTGCGACTCCTGCAGCCACGTCGTCGATCCGCAGTTCCGCTTCTGCCCGTTCTGTGGCTCCGCGCTGTGAAATCAATCAAAAAGGTTGGATTTTTGGCCTTCCTGGCGGTGTTGGTTTGTCAGGGTTTAGGGTTCTTTGCTTTTCTTCTACATTTCCTACTTGTTCTCATCGGTGTGTAAATTGAAGTTCCTTACTTGACGAATAAACATCGTTGCTGCAAACAGATGCCATCTATGTTGAGGGGAAGAACAAAATCTTAATAAGATAGCAATTTGAGCATAAAAGCAGTCGAATTGAAAAGACTATTCAATTTTAACTCAAAACTTGTTGTCAACTCTTCGGCAGAAAAGATGTGCAAGCATTAGAGTGATGAATTACTAGGATCTTTAATCATTTAAAAGTTGCAACATTTGATATTTGATTCTTAGTGTTTCATATTGTTGCTGTTTCCATCAAAGCACACACACAAAGAATTGGATCATATTTACAGGGAACATGCCAAATTTTCTGTTTTGATTCAAATATTCATATTCATTCTGATAAAAGGAAATTCTACTATCATTCTACGTTTAAGTGTGCTTATTTTTATTATACACGAGCAGACTTATTTTAACTCAATTTTACCTTCTTTTGTGAAGAAAATATATTATTGGATATGATTGGTATTGATTTCTTCTTCTATACAGCTGTAGATATATGAACTGCTCAATTTTAACTGAAAAAGAAGAGGAGAGAAAATGATCTTGTACTCTTGGTCATGGTCCTTAAATCATTAGTCATAACATATCCTTGTTCATTCTGTAGCTAAGCATTCTTTGTGCACGCGCACGTCCATATACATGATACATGAATTCATTAGCAACTCCATATACATGGAATGAACAAGTGTATTAGATGTTGTTACATGTGTAGCTTACAAACATTTGTGGTTCATGTGCTCCTGTGTATTAGCATGTACATGTTTCATCCAAATCTTCCTATGTTTCTTTGAAGCTAGGTTTTCAGGATGTAGTATTCTTATCGTTGAGCTTTGTATAGGGTAGTTTTCCTAGTCAAAATGTATGAGATATCCCTAGTTAAAAATTATAAGAGATAAGATGTGTGACGTAAATGTATCAAACTACCCATGGTCCTTGTGAAGTAACCAAGGTTCGCAATACCGTACTGTACCGGTGTTTCGACCTGGGCTCATTACAGTATGGTACGGGTGTACCGAGCGGTACACCTGATTTCAGTCCGTTAAACCCTCTGAAAATCATTGTTTTGTAGAGTTTAGGAAAAAAAAAAAGTTTGAGAGAGAGTTTAAGAGAGTATAATGAAATAGGGGAGAAGAATGGCTTAAATAGAATGAGAAAGGGCTCCAACGGTTAAATTGACCGTTGGAGCACTGTATCACTGCTACAGTGCGGTAATGGTCGAAATCGACGAAATCGATCGTTACCCCGTATTGTCCGATACGGGATTTTTTTGAACGTACCGCCCGGTAGCGGGCGGTCCACGTACTGGTAGCCTGTCGGACCAGTATATACCGCCCGTACCGGGTAGTATAATTTGGTATTGCAGACCTTGGAAGTAACAAATAGATATAATGCAAATTCTGTGTAAATTTTATGTAGGGTATTCTGCATAGAAAATAGACAAATGGTTCTTCAAAACCAGTCAAGCCATTTCGGTTTATCATCTCAACCATCCACCTAAGTTGAATATTTAAAATATAAATATCAAAAAGTTGATTTGATTAGATCTAACGAGTGGATGAGATGACATAAGAGGATGAAATGGACAATTTTCTATGGAGCTTGTTGACCATGTAATTGGGCTGGACCAGGCAAGACTTGGACCATAACTGGGCCTTCAACCTGAGCTTAGTAGAATTTAGGCCCAAAGTTGGGCCCATCAAAGATCATGTAAAATATGGTACTTGGACATCGATGTTAATGATCCAAAATAGCAACAAGCCATAATATCCCAACTAGCAGTGCAATTATCGTTTTTGTATTGGCCAATCAAACATAATTGCCGACAATTTTAGAAATTTGTCTGGTCTTATTTGGATCCTATGTCGATATTGATGTCTTTGAATACAAATATGCTATGCTACAACTACTAGTGCTACCGAATAAAGCAGTTTGCTGGAGGAAAGAAATATCGATCACATTGTGTCACAGATGATACCAAGTGACTAAATGATAAATGTAGGACCATGTCACACTGTTTTATTTTAGCAGACTGCAGTACCTTAAAAACATGGTGGTGACATACACTGCTTTCAGTAGCTTTTTGTACATGGCATCAGCTATTTTGCAGTTATCAGCCATGTAGAGGTCCAGCTTCCTCAGTCCTCTCCATGCCAACTAGAAGGCAAACACACATTACTCCATCCAAAAGTTGTTCTACTTGGACCTACCTGCCGTTATCCAAATAGAACTTAGAAACAATAAAGCATTGGAGGAGTGTTGCAGTGGAGTCAAGCTTTGAAGGGAATAGCTTTCATTAAAGATTATCCAGTATGCTAATAGATTTTAGCTGTGGGTTACACTTTGATAGGCCACAAATCATGCTGGAATTGCTCTTTTTTTCTTTAGCCTACTTTACTTTTCATTCAACTGACTTTTATTGTAGATACCAGAATTCTATCCATCAAACTTGAGGAGTTGTTGAACTGTTCTTGTGACCAGCTTTGCTTGGTTGAGTGAATGTCTGTCTGATCTTTAAGAACTAATTAGGAACTAAACAAATGTTCCTGAATCTAATGATTTGTCCTGCATAGATCTTATGTTAGTTTTTTGTGAGTTGAGTTGTCCTGCATAGTTGAGACTAATATATGAACTAGTTATGAAGTAGTTAAAAGCAAGCCATGTGGATGTTCCTCAGTGGCATATTTGTTACCAAATGCCTTTTCTTTGATGTGGTTGAATTGTCCTCTTTGATTTCTTCCACCATCATTAAAAAAGATATATGTGACATAGTTGTGGATATTTAATTGGGTATATTATAAAATGAGTGTGGTATTTACTACCCTTTTTGCTCTTATTTGTCTTTGTGTGTACCATCCAACCCACTAATTATGAATTATCATCAAATAGATGTTTGGTAGGGTATATAAAGAAGTAGTCATGGGAGGCATTATTCTTTTCATTATTTGAATTTTATGTATCCCCTTTCATTAAATACTTTAAGAACAGACATATCCTTCTGATTTCATGCATTAAATATTATCTCATCTTATGGTAATATCCATTCTCATGCAGCTCATTGTCACCTTGCAAACATTTGTCATAATTTATTCTTAAACCCTTGAGCTTCCTCATCATTTCATGTACCAAAAGAATGAGGCTTTTGTAGTGGTTGGGGCTGTTGGTGCCCATGATGCTATTGTAGCCATGTGAAGCAGGACCCACCATCAGGAGTGGTGCTTTGGTGGGGGCTAATTGTCTCAACTCATATTAACATACTCTCCACCCACCCCTCTATATATGTATGAGTGGATGTATATGTATATATGTATATATGTATATATATATATATGTGAGTGTGTATATGTGTATATATACATGTGAGTGTGTGTATGTGTATGTGTATGTGTATATATGTATATATATGTCTATATATATATGTGTGTGTATATATATATGTATATGTATTTATGTATATGTATGTATGTATATTTGGTAATCTCGACCAAGTCTTTTTACTTCAATACATAGTTTCTTTTGGTTTTTTTTCTTTTCCTTTTTGTTGGATATAAGTCAAACCATTTCTCATCCATCTCTTCTTTCCTTACACGACTCTTGTTTTTCTCTTGTGGTCAAGCTTAGGTGGATGAGTATGGGCAATTCTTGTTCTTTTCCCGGACTTTCCACGGTTGGATAAGGATGACCCAATACCTTCTTAATATAATATCATATATATATATGGATAATATAATATAATCTAAGTGGTTTTTAACTTTAGATTATGATAAATAGGGCTAATCAACTGTAATTAATTTTTTTTTAATATTTTAATTTTTTATATTATAAAAATTATATTTGGATCTTTATATTTACGAAAGTAAAAAGATCTCCAAAGTTAAAAGAATAATTTTATAGGGTCAAAAATTAAGAAAAAAAAGTTTTACTGTAGTAATAGATTTAAATATTTAACTTTGAAAAAGATAGGGATCTCAATATAATTTTACTAAATATAATTAATTATAAAAGTAATATATAATTAGTCTTAATAAATATGATCTTGAAATAATAATTGATAGGGGCAAAAATGGTGATGTGACACGCCATGACAGCATCCCCCTGAGCGACACACTGCCCGAGGCTCGCCATACCCTGCAGCAGCTCGGCCTCCCACGCAGCCCCAGTGGTAATGTCAGACGCCACCAAAGGTACAGTCCTGCCCTGCAGACAGCTACATCAGATAACATCAAACCTCCTATATAAATACCCCTGAGTCCTAAGCAAAAAGGGGAGGACACACTCAACACACGGAGGTTTCTCCTCCTCCTAAACCCCCTCCACATCTTTCGCTAATTTGATCGTCGGAGGGGTCGGGTCGAGCACCCCGACCCGACCTTTGTGCAGGTGCGAACCCTTCGGAGATCCCTCGCCTTCGGAGATTCAGCTTGCTCGAGGAGCGTCCCCACGGAGGTCTCCGTCTTCCGGACCCAAACCAAGCCGTGACGACCTCGAGGCCACGGCTAAAAAGTTACTCACTGTAACATAATGACGCTAGAATAAGGGCCCGGAATGACGGTACGTTAGCTTTCTCCTTGGTTGCTCCACTGCAGTCGACCTGCACCAA